GCAGGTGAACATTAGTCATGCTGTTTTCATAAAAAAGATTAGCCAGGCTGGTTCTTCCTAAGACAGAGGAGGTAGGAACAGAATCAATCAACACAGGTCTTCATACCCTTCTGCAGAACATTCCCCTGCATATTTATTAATGCTGTAGCAACATCAGTCTCTACAATCCCATCCTGCAGATTCTTCCATTGGAGAACGGCCCCCTGAGCATACAGAGCAATTAACTACCAGATTTCACCCTCTCCAGGATATATAAATTCTCCACAATGGAACGGCTGATGAATTTGCATGTATAGTAAGCCCTTGGCAAGGGATGGCAGAGATGAAAGACTCCTTCCAGCCTTCTTCTGCACTACACCTTCCATATCTCTGCTGTCAGTGCCAAGCTTTGCACTAACAATTAGGATTATCAGAGACAGAGATAATTTACCTATTAAGAACAATTATGGGTAACCTCAATGCCAAAGGGCAAATGTTTCCAACTAGATTGCAAATCCCAACTTTTATCCAATATTAATCTTCCTACTCCATTTTCAAATTCCCCATTTTGTCTATGCAGAAATGTATATAAATTTGGATTTAAAAGTCACGATGCTCAATATTTTCACTCAGTTAAAAAGCACAACTTGGGCACTCAAAATGCAGACGTTGAATGAGAAAACCAAACCGAAAACCTTCAAAAGCTGAAAATACTCCTGAGGGGTATACACCTGGTCATCTGTTCCACATCCTGCCACAGCAAATTGTTCCAGCAGGTACAATGCATTACAGACTTCATTCCCCAGACTAATTTTACATACTCACAGAAAGACATCACATCGCAGCTTAAACTGACAGGAAGTATTTCCTGATCCAGTCTGAAGTATTTAATTCCCTGACTCCCTCTGCCTTTTGTACCTTATTAACTAATTCCACTGCAGCTTCACAATTTACACTCTTTAAACATGCTTAATGGCTATGCTGTACCCAACAGTTGCTGCTTAGCTAGATATATTCAGCTTTTCTAATAGATCTAAATCTATCAATGTACACCTGTGTACACTGAGATATTTCCAGCTGATTGTACAGCTCTTCCCTCAACTTCATGAGTATTGGTCCAGCACAGATGCAGGCAAACGAACCCTCCAGCAGCCTTCCCTCTGGCTCTCCGTGGGCTGGGGTGAAGCAAAGGTTGGTACACGTAGCCCACATTATTTCTGGTCTTTATTTCACATTATCACATACTTTTCGACGTGCAATTTCTAGCCTCTTACAGGTTTATTTTAAGGGTTTTTCATAGCTTATTCCTATATAACACAAACAGATCCAAGTACTTTTACAATAATTAGAAAAGCCTTATCTATATAATAAATCTTTGCATCATTTTGGGGGACTCTAGAAAAATTGCACGTCATTTTCCACCTAGTATGCAGTCAGTGAAGCAAAGTCCGAACATACTTACTCATCTTCATACAGTCTTTTGGTCAGAAACATCAAGCAACTCTATGAAAAGTTTAACTATAATTTTCTATATGTTCCTTTTATTAATAATTTCTACCTTTCTGGGGCCTTTCATCTGAAGGCCCTGCTATACTTTGTTTTGCTTCAGAAGATCAGGAAAGCAAAGAAAATTTCAAAACTATTTCACCCAGCACAGAAACACAGCTTTTTGGACAGCAGTAGCAAGTTTTGAGGGCAAACAACATCACACAACAGCACAGGGAAAAGAAGATCAGAAAATATAATATTCTGTTGAATTGCAGTGTAATCCTGATAGAGAATTAAAGGATTTGAAATGGGCCAGAACACTGGAATTAACATCAGTACTTTTCAAAACAAAAAAAAAAAAAAAAAAAAAAGATGTTCTGGCTGGTAGGATTTCACAGGTCAGAACTTCTTCTCTATATCACATCCACCCCAATCAGCATGGCGACACTGTCTGCCTGGACTGACTGAATCAGCATCTAGGTCAGACTTTTGTTGTGTGTGTTCCCAGTGGCTAGCAGGCAATCTTGTAGTCTACGTTATTTCAACCAAGTTCTGACCTGGCCTAACCTTGGTTTGTGAAATCCAGTAAGATCACAGCACAATCTGGCATGGCTGCAAGCAATGTTCAGTCATACTGATACAAAACTCCCTGAGGAGCATAATCTGGAAGGAACAACAAAGAAGCTTGCAACAAAGAGAGCCATAAAACAAAAAGACAAATGGTAGATAAAAGAGGAGCAGTATTACAGTATCTCTTGTGAAGGGAAGGCCACTACAGTAAGCTGTGTTGTCAGAATTTAGCTTAGACTTGGACAAAAAAAAAGAAAAAAAAAGGGAAAGAAAAAAAATGGATGGAAAGAAAAAGCCTGCTATGTTTTTGGGTTTTTTTAAGTTGAACTTTCAAAGGTTTCCTCAAGCAGCTAGAAAACAAGTTATCCAAAACCTCAAAGGTATGACAGTCAGATGAATCCTTTTCTAAAATATCTGGCAGAGAAATCCTTGACAACTGAAAAATTTCCTACTTGAAGCAGCAGATTCTGTAATGCACATTCATTCTGGTTCACAGCAGTGTTATTCACCATCTTGGATCCAGGGACTGTACGACATCAGAAACCACCTCTCAAAATTCAAGTAAACAACGCATGGGAAAGCCAACTCCACTCTACTGGTAGACAAGACATTTTGTTGACCTACACACAAATGACCTGATCACCTCTCCAACTCACCAAAGCAACATAGCATACAAGCCAGTACACAGTTGGGTGGCCATATGAGAAGGTCAGATGTGAGAAAAAGAGAGCGCAAAGACGCATGAGATGCATAGAGAGAGAACATGTGAACATGTTAAGAAGAGCAAGAGCACGAGAAAGGGCGCAAAAGAGTGTACATGAGAGAGCATATGCACACACGAGAGCTTGAGAAAGCATGAAAGAGCATGAGGAAATGTCACAGGAGAAGATAAGAAAGTAGTCTGAAATGAAAGATATATCTGCCCCTTTGCCCCTGGGATTATCTGTCACCCTGGCAAATCTTTTGCTTTGCCTTTTCTCTCATTTATTATGGCTTTAAAACCTGATGGAGTTTGTGCTGCAAAACAGCAAGTGTTTGCTCCACGTTAGATGTCTGGGCAATGCAAAACACAACAGGAAGCTGATTTTGGTCAAAGCAAACTGTGAACATAGATGCTAATCGTGTAAGTGCTTCAGGGATCAGTGAAACAACGTGATCAATCAATAACAGAAAGAAATCCAGAGATGTGTGTCGACTATGCCTCACGTAGTTGTTTTCCTAACTGACACCTTGCCTGGCTTCATTCCTCGCAAAGACAAATCTATCAAGGGCAAAACCAAACAGCCCCATTTAATCCTGTCAAGCAAGAACAAGGAAGTTTTTCGGGCTAAGTATCACCTTTCTTCCTGAGTATAACAATCTCTTCCTGATGTGAAATCCAAAACCACGAGGTCGAATGCTGAACAGCTCTTGAAAGGCTGCTTGAAACAAGAACACTTCACCTGTGGATGGTAGCAAATAATAGCAACAAAAAAAAAAAAAAAAAAGGAAGCAACAAATTTCCTAAGTTCAAATCCTAGCAAGCACTGAGCAAATTTTTCCCTTTTTTCCATCTTTCATCTCCATCTTTTGGATTCTAGAAATACTATATGTACACACCTCGGTGGCCTGGATCAGTCCTGGTTGATCATGAGACCATCACGATACCACTGAGTTTCACAGGTCCATATATCCCTATATCCTCAGGGACCAAGGAAAGCACCTTCCCATTCAGAAAATTTGAATGTAGGTTCAGTGCTCACTCAAAGAGAGAATTTACTTGAAACAGAATCTAAAAACCAAACCCAAAATTAGCACCCCCTCTATGAGCACCTATGACCACTGTGATTTACTGTTTCTAGCCTCAAACTTTAATAGAGTTGGGTTTTTTCCTCCAATATTTTTGTATGTATTTATTTTATGAGCTTAGAAAATGTTTTCAACACTTTTTCAAATCACATGCTAATTTCTAGCTGTATTTCTCAAATCAGAAGATCAGGAAACGACACCCAACTATTGGAGCACAGTCAATGCGAGAAAAATTTTTTTGCCTGCAGGACAAATACATAAAATAGATTATCTGGGTTCTATGCTCTGTGCTAAAGAACACTTCATACTGAATATAAGACACTGAGATTCAGTTTTTTGTAAAGTGACCCCCCGACTTCTATTTCTAATTTAAAAGCTCAAAGCCCTTATTTCATACGTTCTGGCACCCATTTCCCTCCTGCAGAGTACAAGGCCTCCAGGAAAAGACACCAAAGAGACTTGACCTTCTGTCCATTGAGGTAAATGAAAAGTTTCCCACCACTTCAGTAGTAAATAAGGTCAAGGAACATTTGTCAGATGTGGTGTAGCTGAAAATTAGGACACATTTCTCAAAATTTTGGCTACAGTTTACATGCACTTCAGTTTCTTCATGCTCAAGGTGACCTGCTTAGATCAGCGAGACTTGCAAAGCTTCAGTCATCAGTTCTGCAGAATGCCTAATTAACATTACTGTTATCCTTGCTGAAGTCACTAAGCGCACTTTGTGCCTTCATAATCTGAAACACTCAGTGGACTGATAAAAAGCTTGCTACAATTCC